AAGAATAATTGAATAAAATTAAATAAAAAAAAAATAAAACAAGCGATTTAAAATCTTGTGCATGCTTTTGTAGTGAAAATACAGAATTGATGTGAACAGACAGCAGTGTTCAGTTATGCTTGATACTGTGGAAAGGGTCAAATGGGGACAATGCATAAATAATAAAGTGCATTACCCAGTGCATTAAAAACTAATGCCAATGGTGATTATGACCCAGAAGCATTTGTATAAATCCATTATAGTACAACACAGTAGGGAAGTCACAAATCATTTTTACCTACGCATGCTGAAAATCCAAAAATCATATTGATTCTCATGTTGAGATTTATAGGTTATACCTGCAGAAATTTTTCAATTTCATTCCTTTGTGTATTAGACTGAAAATATATGCTACAAATGGATTTTTTTCTGCCAAACAACACTAGATCATCCAGAATTTCTCAAGCTCAGTCAGTCAGCTAATCCAGGAAGGGGTAGCTGTGCTGGAAAAGGGGGCTGGGAGCTCTCTTCCTTATAGAGCTGTTTGGTAGTTGTTTAGCAGCATGGGGTAAAGAGCAACCCAGCAGTGATCTCTAACTAGAATAACAGCTCTGCCTTTCTGTCCCTCCACAGCTCAAGCACCTCAGTCATCTCAGAGAGAGAAGGGCATTTGTCCGTGTGGGTCTTTTCAGCAGCTGTTACATTTACATTTACATTTAGTCATTTAGCAGACGCTGGGGTATGAGAGAAAGAGAAATTGTTCGAAAGAGCAGCTGGGGTTGCTGAGTCTTCTGGAGCTGTTGCACCTAATTGATAAACACCCAAAGTGTTTCCACACTAAACTGAGAAAAAGAAACAAGAGGGGTGAATTTACCACTTCGGAGCACAGCATTTCAGTGCAAAAAAGGTTGCACATTTTCCAGGTGATCATGGCAGCAGTTATTCATAAAATTATAATTACATATTAGATATTGAGCTTTAGAACTGGCCATAAATCCATTAAATCATTTAGAGAACCAAGCGTTAAACAACAAAGACAACAAATAAACATTGCTATCAACTGGCACAATTAATTCTTAGTGAATTCCCCCTTGTCCACACAAATCAAGAGAAATCTCAGAGGTGGCCAAAACAGGCCATATACAATGCCTCTATCTGCTCTGCAAAGACACAAGTAAACAGCTCCTAAAAACAATAGAAATGGTTCATGGAGACCGCTTGTCTATTGATGGTATCATCTGAGATAAGCCAACAGGCTTATTTTGGCATGAAAAGTGGAGATGGGAAACAGAATGGGCTTTATCACTAAACCTTTTCCTTTCCTGATCCTTTTCCCTGTTTTCTTTGCTATCTTTCCAAAGTCAGTGCTATTCTTCTATCATCAATGTTATCCGTAGCTTGAACATGTAGAACTGCAATTTTTAACACCACAGATGGAAAGCTAAGCAGAAGTTGGAGGCCTTGGCGTAGAATCATGGC